GGGAACAATTCCCAAATTATATGACTATTTTATTGCATCAACCTCTAAGGACGTGTCCTCTCCTACAGCAATTGGTGGTGACATTGTCATTCACAAAGACTGCTTTCCTAAACCCAGGGTATGGCGGAAGGCAGAAGATGGCAAACATTATGAGCAGTACTTCAGCTAGACTCCTCAGTGTCTGGGGTTTAGTCCTGAATTTCTGCGAGGTACTGAGCTGGAAAGGGGGATCTAGTTACAGTCACTTGGAAATGGAAACCAAGTGAGGCAATCTTATTAGACTTGGTTTCCCTCATTCTACCTGCTAAGGTCCGAAGACTTTTAAGAACTCACTACAGTGTTTAAGCCATCAGTGCCCCAGCTCAAAGCACCATGCAATGTCTGTTACCAAAGACAGCAATGCAGATGGGAGGTGTAAATAGGAAGGAAAAGTGTAGGCAGGGTATTTGGCCAGATGACATGAAGTCATGAGCCCTTAGCACATCCGTGGCTCAATCTGAACATAGGGACGATGTGTAAGAGAAAGCAGTATCATGACAAATGATAGATCATTCCCCTTCCTAATTGGCCACTTCCCAGAAGGAATTTCATAGACTGGGGGGTGGTAGGGGTGGGTGCCAAGGCTCAGAGTGAGGATAGGCTCCTGTAGAGACAAACCGTGGCTTTGTGATGGACGCATGTCACCTTCCTCTGCTCCTGACCTGACACACTTCTCCCTTTAAAACTGTCATTCCTACTGTAGCCTTGGGGGACCTGGGAACCCTGGTGAGCAACAACCCAGGTGAGTGATGCTGCTGGCTGCCTCTCCAGCAGAGAGCCTCCTTCGGAACTGTAGCCCATCACGTGGGAAGCATAGAATCTAGTCAGGATGAAGCCCATGCCTCAGTAGGTGGATAGAGCCGACCAAAATGGTCCCAACCCCTTTCCAGAAGGATGGTTTTATGGATGAGGCGTCACCCGGGTGTTAGGTAAAAGCCATCCAGCATTTCCCTACCATGACTGGCTTAAGGACGAACTGAATTGATCCAATCAGAGGAAGTCTAAGTCTTTTAATTATTGAGTCAAGGAAAACCTGCTGGTTGGAGCAATCAATGGAAGATAGAAGCCCTTCCCATGCTGTTATCAAGCCCCATGGATTTCTGTCGTATACACATCCTCCAAAGTGACTCTCTTCTTCATATTCATGGTAATACTTCAATTAGTTAAAGATTCATTCATTCGTCATTCATTTATATACAGTGTTCTGCCTGCAGGTCAGAAGAAGGCACCAGATCTCATTAGAGAGGTTGTGAACCACCATGTGGTTGCTGGGACTTGAACTCAGGACCCCTGGAAGAGCAGTCAGTGGTCTTAACCTCTAAGCCATCTCTCCAGCCCTGCTTCATTCAGTCTAAAATGACCTCTCCCCCTCTTCCCTCTGTCTTAGTCTCCTCCTACTCACCAAATCCACGCTCTAGTCCCAGAGGGGTTTCCAATGACAGACTAAATTAGTCGTTTTCTTTGCCTACAGTCTTCAACGCACTGTCATGGAACACATGGCCAGTAGCATAAGACTGGAAGACATTTCAAACCTTAGCCCCACTACTTGGCTGTGTAACTGAGCAAGTTTTTTTTTTTTTTAATGTCTTTGCATATTCCTTTCCTCAGCTTATAATGAGAGCACTGTAGAAGTCAGAATCCCTTTGGTGACCAGTGACTGAAAACTAACTTCAGTTAGGCAAAAAGAAGAGCTGTGCTGGGCGATGGTGGCAGCTGCTTTTAATCCCAGCACTCAGGAGGCAGAGGCAGGCAGATCTCTGTGAGTTCAAGGCCAGCCTAGTCTACAGAGCTAGTTCCAGGACAGTTAGGGCTGCTACACAGAGAAACCCTATCTCGAAAAACCAGAGAGAGAGCATGCTATACCAGCTGTTTGGCCGTCTAAAGAGCCACAGGAGCACAAGAATCCTGAACTTAGATTACCCCCATGAGCTTTCTTTGTGTGAACATTCATGCAAGTGTGCACATTCGTACAAGTGTGTGTGTGCATGCTTTAAGGGCAGCACATCTCCACCGTGGCTTCTTTCTGGCCTCTGGCTTGCACTAACTAGTTCCTGAATAGCCAATGGTTTTCAGACCCACACAAGCCAGCTATGCAGTGAAGAGGAGGAAAGAAGCCCTCCTGTGAACTCCCAATTCGAAAACTCCAGGAAATGCGTGCCTTGTCTTGCCTTGGTTGTGGTACCCATGTAGGGCTAGTCCTCGTGGGTTCAGGCAGGATGTGGAAAGTAAGAGCTTCCCGCCAAGTCACATGATGACAGAGATGAAATTACAAAGAATATTTATCAGAAGCAAGTGGTGCTGTCCTAGACAGAGCAGCCAATAGCCGCTGTCTACAAGTCTCATCCTGCATAGTATTCCAGAGATAAAACAAGATTACCTACATCACTGACCTCCGAGTGCACAGCACAACCCAGGTCCCGCACAGTGCTCTGCCAATCCCTCCCTCGTTCACCATGTTCACTATCTCCTTCCATTTAGGCTCACCTAGACGGTACCTTTGTCTCTTGCTGTGTAGATAAAGATGGTCCTCTCTGTATGTTATGTGGCAATAAGGTTTGACAAGCAGGCAGCATCATTGGCTCCTATGCCCCGCTAAGTCTGTTCTCTGTCCACCTCAGATGGCCTCCGTTCCTAAGAAATTGTGTGCTGCTCTCCCTTGGCCAGGGCCTGCCCTCTGCTTCTCCCAGGCCTTCTCCTATTGGCCTCACAAGTCCCAGGCCAATGATAGTACTTCTGCAAGTCCTTCTTCAGCATGCCCACAGCTCTGCATGGCTGCTCCTCAGCTCTTCCAGAAGCCTGCCCTTTCTCCTCCACCACAGTACTGATTACATTACGTAGTAATTATCTGTTTGCCCATCAGGTCCTTTCCGCTCCCCCTCTAGCCATGGTGGCTTGCCAGCTCTAAGTCCCCTGGCCAGGAAGAAAGCCTGGCTTCTAGTCGACCTCAATTCACGCTTGTTAAGTGAAGTACTGAATGAATCAATGAGGAGGAGGAAGGAAGGAGTAGAGGAAAAAGAGAAGGCAGCCTAGACAAGCTCACTGTTCCCACACAAACCTGTGTCTGTTTCAATGCTCACAGTTGGAACAAAAGGGGGGGGGGAAGCAGAGGCCTATGGGATGCTTAAGGACAAAGTTGCTTCCTGTCCCCCAGTCCTTGACATTTGAGAACTGTTTTGGGTTTTGTTCTGTTTTACCACTTTTTGCCCATGGGAAATAGAGTGTCTTGCAGAGGTCTATTTATTCCAGTTGAAGGGAGCAGGGGCTGATGAGGCAGTATTCCGGATGACTCCCCGACCCCCTTTTACAAGCCAAAGCCATACCAGGTGTGACCGTCCCCAGAGTGCTAATATTCTTGGCAGTCTGTCTGGCATTGCTATGGGCCAAGGGAATGAGGTCACCGTCGCCAGTGAAATCACCACTCTATGATTCAGCGCCCATCAGTTCCCAACTTGGAGTGTGCTCTGAGATTCCCAGAGCTTCCCACAGCCATCCAGAACCTGGGGTCCCTGGGAGACCAGCTCACATTTTTAGAGCAAAAGAACTGAGGCCCAGAGAAAGACAGACTCACTGCTAACTTGTGGTGCTTGGACCAAATTCAGCTTTCCAGCAGAGCTGGCTCCCACAGCTCCCTCGCCTCTTCCACAGATCCTCCTTTCAGAATACTAGCCTCTGCAAAAAAAAACGGGGGCGCCTGAGCTAATGGTGTTCCTTCCCTCCTCTCCACGGGAAAGAGGCAGATCTGACTTTCAAGGCAGTTTGCTGCCTTTCTTAGCCTTTGAGAACTTAGGAGTAACTTCCAGATTTATCAACGCAGCCAGTGCAAGGCCTTCCACTCAAATGCAATGGGCAGGTTATAGAGAGAGATACTACCATACGTTCACAAGGAACTTTAAATGATACTCGAAATCTTCCTGGTAGATTTGAAACCGGGTTTCGGGTTTGAGAATGGGTCCCACGTGGATCGGGAGAATGAGGACACCGCGGTAAGCATTTCCCTCAAGTGCTCCCGAAGTTCTTGACCGCCAGTAGTAACCACTTCCCAGCTACTAGTTCCTCATCCAAAACCCGAGGGCGAGGGTCTAAATGACCCCACGCCCCTCTCACCACAGTTATTTCTACCACTGTGAACTGGTGAGTAGGAGGGATTTCCCTGTCAGAAAGCAGGGGGTAGGATGGGAGGGGGGGTGTTCAGCACTGAGAGCGTCTTCTCTCCAGCTCCTTACGTTTAAAGCAGCACTGGGCCACAGAACGGCCCCGGCCAGACAAGTGTTTCCGGACTTGCCAGACAGAGGCGCAGGGTTGGCCCTGGATCCCCAGCCAAATCTCAGAGCATGAGGACACATCATATCTCAAGAATCACAACCAAATAGTTTTGGAGACTTGAGGGGGGGGGGGGTGAAAGCTTCGGGCGACGTCGCCTCCAGGGGGAGCACAAATAACATTTGCTGTCTCCTGAACAGGGCTCGCCCCTTTGTGGCTGGTTGGGGGTGCAATATGCTGCATCTCTTAGTCACCAATTTCATAGAAAATGACTCAAGCTCGTGCTGCGAAAGGCGTGGGGGTGGTGATGCTTTAGAGAAAGCATTAAGCCAGGAGTCCCAGTTTTCAGCTCAGAGACCTACCACCCTTCCAGCCTCCGCGCGTCTTTCTAATTATTGTTATTAATTATTTTTATAACCTTCTTGGCCTCTGTTCCTGATTTCTAGTTGCGTGGAGCATTTGCAGGCCGATAGGACGGCTCCTGCCTTCCAGGCTGAGTTTAAATAAATACATCTGTGTAATTTTACACAATTGCGTCACCGTTGAAGTCGTCGTGGTTCCCCGAAAGGCCTCCACGTCTCCTCCCCGCACCAGGGCCTGCAGACGCTTCCGGGCTCTGGCCGCACTTTCGCGAGGAGCCCTGGGCTCCTCCCGAGCGGCTGCCCGGGAGCCCCTCCCCCCCCCAGTTCCCCCTTCCCCACCTCCTCCATCCTCCCGGCTCTCGGGCGCCTCCTCCACTGTCTCCACGCTCGCCTCGCGGGGAGTCAGGCTAGGGTGACGGCAGGGCCCCCACGGCGGGCGCGGGTGCGAGCGCGGGGCTCGGGACGCGCGGCACTCGGGAGCAGCGGGGACCGCCCTCCTCCGGGCCCAGGCGGGCGGGGGCCGGGGCGGTGCGGGGCGGGCAGAGCCGCCTGGCCCCTCCCCTCCGCCGCCCTCCCCAAAGTTGCCGACTCCCTTGGGGCCGGACAGTCTTATGATCCGGCGGATCCTTCTGGGGAGGCCGGGCCCGGGAGCGGGTACGGGCGCCGAGCGGCGGGGCCATCAGGCGGACGCGGCGAGCGGGGCCAGGGCGGGGAGCGGGGCAGCGATCGAAGCGGCGGCGGCGGCAGCAGCACCCCGGGCCCGCCGCACCTTCCCCTCCGGTGAGGGGAACCGCTTTATGGGGCCAGGGGGGCGGCCCTGCTGCGCCAAGCGGCGGCGACGGCGGACCCCCCAGGCGGGCTGGGGTTGAGCCCGGGGCCGGGGCGGGGGCTCCGGGGGGACCATGCCCCGAGGCCGGCCGGCCGCAGCATGGCTCACGGGCCCGGCGCGCTAATGCTCAAGTGCGTGGTGGTCGGCGACGGGGCGGTGGGCAAGACGTGCCTGCTCATGAGCTATGCCAACGACGCCTTCCCTGAGGAGTACGTGCCCACTGTCTTCGACCACTACGCAGGTAAGTCTCTGTCCTGCTGACTAAGGGGCTGATCCCGGGCCGGGAACTTTGGAGCAACTTTGGCTGAGCCCCCTGGCTGCCTCCCCTGAGCGTGCTCCCCTCCCCCGCCTCACCCTCTGCCTGGCGCCCCCCCTCTAGACTGTGACTCTGGTTAACCCCTCGAAGCAGCTCCCACCCCCTTCCTATCTTCCCCCTCGCCCCTTCTCCCACACTTCTTAATTCCCCGAGCGCCCTCCTTGACCTTCCCACGGTTGCTTCTGTTAGCTTCTCAAAGCCCCTGTGGGGGGAGACATTTGGGGACACTAGGATAGACGTGGCTTTGGGACTTGGGAGAAGAGGGGTGGATAGCAGGGGTCCACATTACACCTAGATCTTATGCCACATGACAAAGAGCTGGACACAAAACGGGGGTGTTCTCTTCTTGGGAGCACCCACACACCTCCCAGTGACTTGGGAAAGGAGGGTCCTGTGGGAAGCGAAATTGCTCGACCTCAGGTCATTGTGAGCTTCTCTCCCCACCCCCACTTCTGTCCTTGCAGTCAGCGTCACCGTGGGGGGCAAGCAGTACCTCCTGGGACTCTATGACACAGCTGGACAGGTGAGTGTCTTGGCCTCTGGCCGGTTCCTTTACCCCCATCCTTCGCCAATGCTGTGTGACTGAAGGGCCTTTAGAAACTGAGGTGTCTGAGTGGGAGGGTGTGTCTTCCAGGGGCTCCTTCAGGATCAGGTTTTTTTTTCTTAAGTCTGCAAATTAAGGAAACAAACCAAAAAGAAAATGCAGACCAGTGTGAACCCCCGGGACGTGAAAGTTTTTGACTGTATGGGTCTTTCTGTGTGTTGCCTGCTGTGTGGGTTCCAACTCCTGTTGCAAAGTGGCGGCGGCCAATGGTGAAGCGCTCTTATTTTTAGTTGCTGATGACCAGGTCTCCCCCCTCACAGCCTCTGTCTGGTCCCTCATTGGTGAGTGGTCTGCCTGCCCGAGGAGCCTGATTGGTAGGAAATGGCATCATCTAACATGATGGGAAGGCATTTGGTTCTGGTTATGTTTATTACAACATCATTGCACTCTGGGACTCCAGTCCCTGAAAACGTAATTTGTGGTGTTGCCAGAGGACCACAGGGAAAAAGGAAAGAAACGACAACCATCAGCCACTCCCTGGGGTGCAGGGAGGCTAGGGTTAAGAGTTCAGCGTGAATCTTGGAGGAAGAGCTTTCTTCCCCCGGAGGGCCAGGTGACTGTGTTTTCTTTGGAGAGATTATCCTGCAGAGAGGAAAGGAACACTTCTCCCCTCTGCCTCTGGCTAGTGTTTGCAAACCTGCAGGGCCAGGCCGTTCTCCTTGAAGGATTAAGGCGCTTGTTCTTTCTCTCTCCCTTCCTGACCCAGCTCAGCCGCCTTGCCAGACCCACTTTCTTTCCTCTGGGGCTAAGATGATGAAGTTTTGCACAATTCAGCTCTGCTGTTTGGCCTGCAGTCTCAGGAAGAAGTTTCTGTGTATTGTGCAGACTTGAGGACTCTGAGGATGTGCTAGCCACTGAAGGCCCGCGACTGGCTCTGGGGGAAATTCAACCACTGAGCTGCTTCATTTGTGCACAGGGCTTGAGAAAGAAAAAGAAAGGGGGTGGAGGAAGAAAGGAGAAGAAAACTACGACCACCATAGATACTATATTCCAAATATGTTGTTCGTTTAGATTTGCCGTTTGGCATTGTAGGCTCTCAGATTCTATACCGAAGTCTAGAAATATCTTGTGGGTTGCAGGGTTTTTTTTTTTTTTTGGAGGCGGGGGGGGGGGGGGGGGGGACTTGATGTGGCCCTGATTTCTAAACCATTAGTGGAACATCTGAGCCTGGAGAACTGGCGATTTAAAGGCCAGAGGACATTCCCTGTCATGAAGGTGTCCAAGCCAGCCAGGTCTGATTCACAGATTTGGGGGCCTGATTTGGCTAGTCTTTCAATGTCCCCTGCCTTAGCCAGTTATGGAAGGCAAGGAGTGGAACTCAGCCAGATACCACCAACTTTTAAGTTGTGCTGTTGACAGATAAGAAGTTGATATTAGTTGAAAATAAAGTTTTGGGGGGGGAAGTTTCTATTTTTAACGTTTTATACTACCTCATTTTATCGTTGCGGTGATGGCGTTTCAATCAGGCGCCTTGTTTAACAGGACGTGTGAACGTCGGAGTTCTGTTTATAGAGAGATCCGTTACTATTGACCATATGCCTATGTATGTACATCTCAGGGTGTGCAGCTCCCAAGAGCTTGCTGCTGGGATGAAGACCCTTGCGCCACTCCAGTTCGAGGTCCTGGGAAGTGCCGGGATGCTCCCCGGTTGGCCAGATTGCTTGTGTGCATAGAATACCTGAAGTTTTAGTCATTCTCTTGGTGGTCGTAGACAAAGTGAAGGTGGGGAGGATGTGATGGGGTCCTGTGCTACCTGATGGTCGGCTCAAGTGGTTTTTCACTTATTCACTGGTACCTTTGATTTGGGGTTAAAGTTATAGATAATTCATTCCACTGGTAAGAAGTAAACTTAATCATTATCAGACAACTTCGTAGGACCATTGTATCATGCTAAGCAACTGGGGAACACAAAAGAAGACATTTAAGTTAGGGGCCTGCCACTACTGGTGTGAGTGTGTGTAAAAGTCTGGATCAAATGATTGTTTATGGTCTTACATAGATTTCTGTGTTGATTATTAAAACCCCACTTCTCTATGAGTAGGTATCTGATTCCTTCTATGATACTAATAGTGGTAAATAAATACATAGACATGTATACACATACTTACCTGTTGAGGATTTTCAGACAGACAATAGCGGAAAGACTATGAGCGTTGAGACCAAAATGTCTTGGGATCAGGTCTCTACCTTGTGTGTGGTTCTAGCTGAGTTATTTACTTTCTCTGTAATAGTAAAATGTAGACAATTAGCATCTGCACTGCAGGGCTGTAGGCTGCCTTAAATTCATTAACCTTTGCAGAAACAGTTGGCGTCCACAGTTCTTTGTATATAGTAGGCGTGCAAACGGTATTACAAGAGATTACTGTGCTCTGCAGTGGGCAGGGTAACGGGGGTGTCACAAGTGGAAGAGGACATATGTATCCTGCATGCCTAAAGTTGCTAGATTCTACTAGAAGCGTTAGCAGATGTGTAGAGCCACAGGAATCGTTTCGGGTTCCGTGGAGAAGTTGAGAAGCAAGGGGCATTTCAGGTTTCTGTTGGTTTTTCTGTCCCAGAGACAGAGGGATGAGGAGGAAGATCATAGCACTGGAAGGCATTGCCTTCTCTCCAAACTGTTTGCTCATGCGTGTGGGCGCTTGGCATACCTACTTAAAGAAGTGCAGCCGTGCCGCCCTCAGGCTGGCACCCCTAGTCCACTTTATCAGTCTTGACTTTCTTGATGACTCCAGTCAAGTGCAAAGCTATAAGCGTCATTTGCCCAGTTGACATATTAGGAATCTACCAGTTGGGTTGGGGGTGGGGGGTTAGGTGGTGACCTTCGGCCTTCTTGACCTGGCTGCTGTCACTTGACCTTTGCTGCCAGTAGCAGAGAGAGAGAGAATGAGTACGAGAGTGTGTTGGGCATCAGTCCCTACCCTGTGCCTTGTCTGGAGACATCTCTCACCGCTCAGCTCACTCACAAGCACTGCTGCTGAAGGGAACTCCTCTGCTCCTCTTGGCTGAGCCCCGGGTGGTCCTAGGACTGCTTGCCTTTTGGACTGCCAAGCCTTCTGGAGTGGAAGTTGACAGTCACCTTCCTCTACCCTGGGGGCCTTACAGGGATGTCTGGCTTTCTGCCTGTCTCTGGGGAACTTCTCCTTTTGTGTCTGACTTTGGGCCTTCAGTGTAGGCTCCGCACTAGCCTCTGTCTGCTCTGGGAATGGACTAGAAAGGTGGGGTTGTCCCCACTGCCTCCACTCTTGGGAATGAAAGGAAGTAGGGATCTGCTGGCAGCTGCACTCTGGCTCCCGGCTCCAAGCCTGATCTCTTAATCCTTGGCAGGAAGGCAGAACTTCATGCTCTGATGAGGGAAGCTCTGATCCAATTTATCCCAGGTTGCAGAACAACCACACTCAGGAGGGTGTGTGGTGGGGTGAGTTTGGGATCCCCAAAGTTATAGATTTAGCCACTGTCTCTGTGTCCAAGTTCACACGCATGCTTTATGTACATGGTTGCTGTATCTGGCAACTTAAGCATCCGAGTTCAGGGTTGCATACATGAGCGCTATAAATATCCTTACTCCGGTGTCCCCTGGGGTAGCTTCTCAATGACAAATGAGATTCGCTTCACACTTGCCATAGCCCAGCAGCTGTGACTGGTTCCCCACCACCACCCCAGGGGCTCTCTGGGTACCCAGGGAGGCACTTCCTCCAACAAAGGGAACATCC